ACAAAGCAATGGTCTGAGGATATCCATAACCATCTTCCTAAATCACCAGTTCTTTATGTTCGAGGACACAAAACTTTCAAAGAGTATGCATTAACTATAGAATAGAATGCAAAAGACCTGGATTTTTACAATAAAAGATGAAGAAGTTTTACAGTAGTTTAAATTTTTTTAAGTAAAGAACAGATACATATTGTAGAAAGAAATTCATTTTCTTAACGAGTAAGAATGCTGAATCATGCTAAAGTTTAATAAGGATAATTCTGTAAGCCAAGAACTTCAGGTATGTCTTGGAAAACTGAAGTTATAAAGTAGATACAATCCTTACCTTTCATTATTTCTTCCAGAATTCCATGAAGTGATCACCTACATTACACTTACGCACATATTGCTCCAAGGAGGAGTAATACCAGCAGCAGGTTCTACAGGATGGGGGAATCCATTCTCCACCAAAAGAATAGATAGTTCATCAAACAATTGACATTAATACTTTTGTTCCTTTCCTTAAATGGCCTCAGCATTTGTCTAGAATGGTTTAGCCAGTACCAACAGAGAGGCAAGCAAGTGATACACTTTTTTAAATAAGTAATGTCAAGTCCTAAGAAATTTTAAATATTGTAGAAACAATCTGAGTAGTAGATTGGGTCTGAGTTGGTTTGGCTTCCTTCTTAGGATACTGATTCATTTTTTAAAAGAAATGTTAACATCCTCAATTTAGAGATAATTAGAATAGCAAGATGTTTAATGAACTAGAGGGATTCTTCGGTAGTCTGGATTAGCTATAACACACATAATACTCCTAATCTGCTGCTCTGCCCCCCACACCCTCCCCGTCAGTCCTCTCCTCTTCTGGAAATCCCAACTCCCTCATGATATTACCACCTACCAATTGCTCCAGCCCAACATCTAGAAGTCATTCTTTATTTCTATCCGTACTTCATCTCTTACCTCTCTGTCATTGACAAATCCTGTTGCCTCTATTTCTGAAATACATCTTGAACCAGGCTACCTCTCTCCACCACCACCACTCAACCCAGCTACAATCCCCTCTCAGCTAGAGTTCTTCAAACCCTCCCAGTGTCTCCATACTTCCACTATAAATTATTCTCCACTGAAGAGTAAGTAATCATCTCTAAAGGCTTGATCTCTATTTCCCCTTACAAGAAGTGATATATAATATTTAATATATACAAAATGTATAAAGAAAAATAGAGCGATCATCTATATAACCATGACCCAGTTAAATCCCATTTGTCTCTCTCCTCAGCATTCCTGTTCAGCATTCTCTCTCCTCAGCATTCCTCCAACTATTCTGTGTTTGATATTTATTTTGCCAACACACCTCTTTTTTTTTATCTACATACACTAGAGTACTTCAAAAAGATCCTGAAAAAAATGGAATGGAAAGATAACATGACTTTTCCATGACTTTTTTGAAGACCCTTTGCATATATATATATGTGTATATATATGTGTATATATATATATATATATGTGTGTGTGTGTGTCTGTATACATATATATATATATAAGCAACATAAACTATTTTCGCATTTTTAAAGTTTGATATAAATGGTATTATACTGTATTTATCCTTTGGCAACTTTTTATTTTTAACCTCATTATTATACTTGTGACATTTATTCATGTTTATTTTCACTTTGGTATAATATGCCACATTCTGAATAAATAACATTTCATTTATCCATTTTCATGTTGATATATATTTAAGTGGTTTACAAGCTTGATTTTTGGTTGTTATTGTTGTTGTTATGGTTATTGTGAACAATGCTGCCTTAAATATTTTATACATGATTCTTTCTCTCTCTCTCTCTCTCTCTCTCTATATATATATATACACACACACACACACACACACACACACATATATATATATCCTGCAACTAACCTCTATTTGATATTTATTTTGCCAATATATCTCTTTTTTGTGGTCTACTATATACTAGAGTCTAGAGTACTACAAAAGGTTCATGAAAAAATGGAATTGAAAGAGAGGTTGGGTGGGGGACATGGGGAATAATTGCAATTTGAGGTGTGGGCATGCTGATAGTATTGATCTGATCACCACATCTTGGGCACAGGTGCTGAGTCAGCTCTGTGACTCATGAATATGTATAATCAATAAAAATAATTTTAAAAACAATAATACAAATCTTTCCATGAATTTTTTGAAGACCCTGTGTATGTATATATACACACATAATATATATTATATATATATATATTTTTTTTTTTTTTCAGCAACTGGCTGGTACTGGGATCCAAATCTTATTCTATATTTTTGAGAGTTTACCCTTAAGCATATTCCTAGAACTAAATTGTTAAGCAATAGAGAATTTCATCTCAAACTTGACATTGTAGAACTGACTCGATGTAGTTATGTGCAGTTATTTGGGTCTTTCAGAATTTACAGGTAGCTCCAACAGTTAGAGGAAGGTGAAGGCTATTGCCTTCTTCCTTTACAACTTTGTTATCTGATGAGATTAACAATGAAAGCAAGTCTCATAGATTTTATTTAGCAAGCAGGTCCAGAAAGAGTCTCATTACCTGTACTGTTAGCCCAGTGAAGTTCCTGTTTTCTCCTTTTGGCATGAAGCTCATTGCCTAAAAGAGTCACTCGAGGCAGATGTGACAATATTTGAGAGGCAGGATTCAGCTCATCTTACAATATGACAGTAAAAGAATACTCTATTAAGGGTCTGGACACAAGATCAAATGGTATCCTAGAGTAGGTACCACTAGCAGTGCTGCTGAATTTACTAAGCAGATTCTTCTACTGCTTTAATGCAAGAGGGAAGGTGCCTGTTTGATTTACTCAATGCATTCATAATATTTAAGAGTATTACTATCATAAATGGAAAAAATTCAGTTGAATAGATATTTCCTAGTATACGTAATTCATGTATGTTTTGCCCCTAAATCTATCTACACCCCTAAATCAGTGGCTGTCATTCAGGACTCTCTCCCATTCTCCTCACCGTTACTCCCCCTCCTTCCTAGCAATATATGGCTAACATGGAATCAACACTGTTTTCAAAGTAGCAGTTTTAAAAATCTAAATAGGAAGTATTTTGTGAATTTGCCAAAGCACCATCAATAAACAGAGGCAAATCAAGTGTTCCTGCGGCATAATAAAATTCGTTATATATTTGAACATAATCTGAAATAAACCACAATAAATAATTTCAACACACTGATTTCAGAATGGAAAAACTTGTTTAGTTACTAATAACATCCTTAAATGTCACTCAAATTTTAAGATCATTATTTCTGTTTTAAGGTGAAAGTAAACAACACAAAATGTTGCCATGAAAAAATTTTAACTATAGAATAATGTAGGATGAACCTTAAATGTTCACTGCCCAACATCCCCTAGTAGATGCAGGAATTTTCTCTATAAAACTCTGCAAGCCCAGCTTGTTCACTTCTGGTGCCGGGACTCCCTTCCCAAGTCAGCTCATGCCATCTTTGGTTTTTGCTGTTTTTAAATTTTTCTTTACATGGTGCAAACTTGTTTTCTTAGAACTTCTGTCCATAAGTATAAGAATATATGAATATACAATCTAATCATTTGAAAATACCAACTTGAAATATAATTGCAGGCATGATGATTTCTAAATGATGTGATTATTTTAGAACAATAAATTTTTGTTTTAAGTATTCTCACTTCTAAGACATACTAATTTACTTTTTGAATCCTAAAAAGTAAAACAAAAACTGCTTATCTAGTGAATAGTGACAGTTCCTTAGATATAATATCTTTATTTTGTAATATTTATTTTCTCAGCCCTCTGGAAATCAGGACAACTTGTTTTCATTATGATGATATCTTACAACTATAAGTATTATTTTTTTACATGAAATCAAACCAGTCAAAAAGATGATGAGTTTCACTTTTCTTAACCTAACGTATTTGATTGTATGTCTTGACAAAGACTCTCTCCTTTGAACAAATTTTAGTCTGGCTCCACTGATTTCTCTTCTTGACTAGGCCAACATTGGGCTTCTCTCTCTGTTCTTGAAGGATCCAGTAAGAGCAAGAATCTTGCTAACTCAGTTTAAGGAAAATCTCCCACCCTTGATATTTTACCATGCTGGCCTGCCTTCAAGAATAGTCCTATTAAGTCAGTATAGCCAGAAATCCTCTTATCCTTAATGTTTCACCTAATAACTTTCAATCCACAGACCTCCACCCTGCTCCTTGGTTGTATATCTCCACTTGTCCTTCTTGAAATCAGAACTGAGTCCACTTTCTCTCCCCTACTGCAGGATCCCACAACAGTAGTCCCTATACCTATCTCCATGGTCTACCTTGAATAAAGACTGCCTTACCATCTTTAAAAAGTGTCTTGAATAATTATTTATTTTCCAGTCTTCTCCAGCAAACCAAAGTATTGGGGTGTACAATCTTCTCTTCCCTTAAATCCCTCAGACTCTCCCTCCACTCTTTTGCTTTAATTTTCCCAGTTAGCCTGAAAGCAGAAGACAGCTTGAGCCATTGGAAAACCCTAAAAACAATCCTGCTAAATAAAAGTTCATTTTTATTCTCTCTTGGTATATCATGATAAAGAAAATGCTACAACTGTATCCTACCATATTTCTTTGACAAATATTCATAGCTTTCAATTCATTCCAACAATTATTTACTAGATGCCAGGCACTGGACTAGGACCCAGGCCTTATGGTAACACTGAACTTATGATAAGGACAACTTGTGACATTCTCATCCTTAAAAGTTAGCAGTACTGAAGTCCCCCAGAATGAAGAAAGCCAGGCTATACATGTCCCATAATGTTTTATAGACTCAGAGATGACCCTAATGAGACCTTGCATTTTCTCAAGAGTAGACAGTACATGTAAACAGTGTTAACCTTGGTTTACACATGAGATGTAAACAGTGCTAAACCTACTTAGCACATGAGATTTTAACAAGAGTGAACTGACTGAAAACTGAAAATTATATTAAGAATACTTCATCATGCTTAGGGAGAAGTAATTTGCTTTATTGTATAAATGACCATTTCAACAAGGTTATAAATTAGATATAATTATATAAACTGGAAGATAGGATATTTACATCCAAATGTTATTCTATTAATGGGCAGTTTAAATATATTCAATGTAATAAAAATTTAGAATCTCAAAAATATCTACATTTGGGTATCATAACAAGGAAAGCAAAGACAGGAATTCTGCTTTCCCACTCAGTATTTCACAAACATTAACATAACAATTCCCACAAACTGATCTCAGAAAGAGAGCAGTGTTACATTTGCTATGAACACAAACAGAGAAATACTAGTGATTGTGCTTTATATAATATTGTTTGACACAATCTACATAGGAAATACGATCAAGATTCATAATTGCACAAATTTGAAAGGCCTTACATTTCTTATCACAAATTACACTGCTGTCATAACTCACAAAGAAGTAATTGTAGTATTTTATAAACTGCTTACTGTCTAGCAGTGCAAATTGTTTAGCTAATTGATATAAACTTTTCGGCTGCAAATCTTCGATGTCATAGGTCTGGGTCAGGATATACTCCAGCTTCCAGTTGGATTCTCCCTTCAGATTTGCCTCTGTCAGGTTCAAGTAATACTGCAACACATCCTACAATTAAAAACAGTAACAAAGCCTCATTCATTTTTCAGCACAGAAAGTACTACACAAGAAGAGTCATAATTAAGATTTATACTACATTCTTAATTTAAAGTTGTATTCTTTAAAAAGAGTGAGAATTGGTTTTAAAGAAAAATAGGCTTGATACAAAACCTCTATCACTTTTCTAATTTTAAAAACAATGTAGGACCTAATAACAAATAATCCAAACTATACAGAAAATAAAAATAAAAAGCTTTCAATTCACACACCTCCAAGTTAACCATTGCTATAGTTGTGTATAAATCAGTTGTGTGCTGGGGGAGGCTTGTACCAGCTCACCAAAGCTGATTGGTAAATTTTCAGGAATGCTGTGAGTCAGTGGATGTCACTTTAGTAGCTTGAAATTGTCCATGATGGGTATTTCTATCATGGAAAATGGCAAACACTACAAATTAAGGCACTTTCCCCCTAGTGAACCAGTTGTTAAAGTTTAACCAGCATTCCAGTGTACCTGTGTTGTCCTAGACTTGATGAACAAAACAAAGATAAATATTTAGAAAAGATATACCTACATACCTTTTTAATTTTTTTCAAAAAACGGAATCATACTATACAAACTGTCTTGTACTTTTAAACATTATTTAATGCTATATTGGGGAAATCTTTCCATGACAGTAGATATATATACACACACACACATGCTTTTATATATATACACACATACAGATATACACATCTATATATCTGAGGTTCAGATCCAAAACCAGGCAACTAATAGTTGTAAAAGAATTCCTTTGACAAGTTTATCAGTCAATTCTTTAAAATTAAAGAATTAATTGAATGTTTATAGACTAAACCAGAGTTCTGCTGTCCTACCTCCTCGTTCTGCTATTTTGAGTAATACAAGAGCCATCTCCTATTTAAATTTATCTAGGAAAAAATGCAATTACATCAACAACAACATTCATTGAGGTGAATTATTTTCAAATTATATTTGTAGAAAAAGGCAGTTACCCAAATTGAAGTACCTAAAAGCTTTTGATGCTAAATTGTCCTAAAGCAGAGTCGTGAACATAGTTCAGAGACTTTGTCTCAAAGGTGAATGTCCAACTCATTTTTTTCTTAAATTTTTTTTTTTTGCTAGCATCTATTGAGCTAGCAAGGGCCAAACATTTTTCTAAGTGTTTTACATACATTTGTTCATGGAATCTTCACAGCAACTCAGTGAATTCAATAATATTTTAATACCTATTTTATGAAGGAATAGACTGGGACACAGAGAAGTTTAGTAATACAACCTATGAGAGAGTATGGTTGCAGATCCCACACACTTCTGGAGAAGAGCAGTTAATAGTGAAATGTTTCAGTACGTATACAAGTCCACAGTAAGGCACCACCCAATGAAAACTTCATCTAAATAAATGTGAAGTCCTTAGAAGGATAGAAACAGCCTCTCAAAAGCTCACCTCATCAGCCCACACTTAGAAAGTGCTGACACATTCCAAGTACAAAAAAGAAGAACATCATGAGATTTCAACATAAAATACATCTCACATAGCTGTATTAAGAAACATTCAACTAAACTAATGAAAACTGCAAAGACGTGCATAAATATGGGGTCAACTCTGAAACTGCCAACTTACCAATAATTTATAATCACGAGGATCATACTGAAATAATCTGATACCAGGATTGTTGGTCTGTTTTTCTAAAACACCCTTCACTGGTGTAACGGCAGGAGCCACAAACAAAGAGCTTATTGGACTTCCTGGACAAAACATATGTACATAAACACACATTTTCAAAGGTAGAGTTTTTACTAAAAATATAAACAGGTTTCAGATTAAGAGATTAATAACATACATAACAGTCAAATGATGTGTGATCATTGACGGATCCTGAACTTGGACAACTATAAAGAGACAATTTTGAGAAACATAATTTTTATTCTCAATACCAAAGGATGATTTTTGGTTTCGTTAGGCAGGTTAATGTTATTGTGGTTGAGTAAATTATCCATATATTTTAGCAATGAGTACAAAACTATAGAGAGCTGAAATAGATCTAATGTTTGAGATTCACATTCCAATATTTCAGTCAAAAAAGAAAAATTAAAAAGAGGTAAAGTGAATATGGCAAAATCTTCATAGATGTTGAAGATGTACATGGGGAGTTGCATCATTCTCTCTGCGTTTATATATATTTGAAATTTTCATAATAAAAAATCAAAATCTATCCCAAGTACACACACACACAAAAATACCAACTAGTTTGTTCTGTACTTCTACCTAAAACAATATTACATAATAATTGAGCATAGCGTTGTAACACCAAGGTCAAGGGTTTGGATCCCCATACAGGCTAGACCCCCAAAAATCCCCACAATATTACATAATAAGAATTTTACTAAAGTGTCACCACGCTTTATAAATATCTATTATGAGAATCAATTTCTTTCTGAGTAAAAAAAGAACTGTCAAATGCTGAAAAGTAGTCATTCTTACCAAGCCAATGCATTCTAGATGAGAGGTAAACATTTCAAAAATATTCCCCAATTACTGAAACCAAATGCATATTGATGTTTTTTTCCTTTATGACTACATTAAAATCAGAACTCTTATTTTGTTAACTCAGTTTCTTGCAAGAGGTTCTTCTTATTTATTCATTTTTCTTTTAATGCTGCATGGGCAACAATGTCAATAATCACAAGTAAGAGCTTAATATATTTTATTTTAAACCATTGTATAAATTGGGCTTTGCTTTTTAAATTCTGAGAAATAAAACAAGTCATATCAAAAGAAAATTGAGACTAGCAGGTAAATAACAAGTAGTAATATTTCTCTAAACTCAAGGATCTAAATCAATATTTGAATGACCTGAGAGTTTCAGAGACTTTTGTGTTGACAGCAAATGAATGCTGCTGGACTTTTGGAGCTAAGCAGTTTATGTTGAAAAAATCCATTGCAGGCCTAATTTCATGATTTGGACACTTGTCATACAACCGTTGAAAATAATTCAGAAAAGGCTAGTGCTGGCAGGTTTTTTAATAAAACTTTTCAATTATGAAATCAGTACATTTATTAGATATTCAATGCTTTGCTCTAGCGTCTTGGACTGGGGAGAAGCAAACAGAAAGTCACATTACCTTTTTTATCTGAAAGAATCATAATGCTATCTCTGTGAGTATGTCCATAAAATTGTCCTGCAATGACATTGCTGTATTTTCTAAAAATGTCTATCAGTTTCTCATTATAGTATTCTCTCATTGCTGTGGTGCCATTGGAATAGGGCAGATATCCCACTGGAATATGTGCTATGATGTACACCTGGAAAAAGAAACACAAGGAGGACTTATGAGAATCTTTCAGCACATTTATCACAACTAAATGACATTTGTACACCCAAGATTGAAAGCATATTAAATACAATTTAGAAAGCAAATATACCATCTCTCCTATTTATGACAAAAAAAAGATGAGATTATAAAACTATTAAGGTGACTATATTTGCACTTGTCTCATTTATACCACATTGTTACTGATGTAAGGTCACTGTGACCTTGGTCATAATTTTTTAGATCAGGCTTTTTTTATACCAATAGATGACAATTCATTCTAAAAGCACTAAAAGCAAAACAAATTAAAACATCAGAGACAAGTCATAATGTGTTTCATGTGAAAATATTTTCAAATTCTAATACTTTTTTTTTTATTAATACCTTACTCTCTGCCCCATGTTCAATAAATAGAGGAATTTAGCCTTCCATTTATCCCTTGATGATTTTGGTCTGTAGGTTCTACCTTCTCTTTATTTTGCTGAGAGCTGTTCAGTGTATTTTCTAGCCATTCAAACTGATTTGCTGGGTCAGTCTTGTTCAGGGTCACGACATTTGGGCTATAGTACAAATTTGTGTTTAGACTGATGATCCTAAGGTTTCGGTTAGTTGTAACTTTCTGTGAATAAAAGCCACCTATAAAAACAGTTTAAAAACACATTTTAGGAAAATACAAAAACAAATACACAGACACTGAAAGCAAATTCTTAAGGTTTACAATCCTGGAAGCTTGTATTTGTTTCTCGTTGTTTAGTTTGCACATAGATAGGTAGTCATTAGATCAGAATCAGATTTAACATTTATTGACAACCTACTATGTATGTGCCAGGTCCAATGCTGGTACTTCCACATATTGAGGTAACAACAGTTGTATCCAATATTACGATGAAAATAAAATTAAATGTTTGAGCAGTAAGCAATAAGACTGAATTTTACAAAAGAAACTCTACTTTCATAGGATTGGGGAGTTAAGATGAGAGATATAGTGAAATATAAAATCCAAAGAATGGGAACAGACACGGATCTTGTGAGAGACCATGGAGAAAGAAACTTCAGAAATGCTGGATAAACCAGAGCTGCTACAATTTCAGTAGAGAAGAGAATAAAGGCATAATCCCACTCATGCCTATGAACCCGTGGTGACAGAGCACCCAAGGGTCTACTGCAATGGCACTAACCGAGCTAACCACTGAGATCTGGGCTCTGCTTTCTTTGCCCTGGGCCCACTCACCATCCATGGCTTTCCTTAACTTTCAATCATGACTGTACAATGCCTCTTTAATTTCTTTTATTCCTCCTTGTAGTCATAACACCTTATGATTTTTTACTATGGTATCAAGAGAGCAAATAGGTTTGAATTTGTTATAAGTTATTTTGAGAAGCTGCCCTTTATGTCCCAGTAGTAGATGACAGTATTTCTAATGAGCAGCTCTGGAAGACAAAGTTTGAGATCCTTCATGCAGTGCATCTCTACTCCAAATAACTCTTGCTTTTAAGATTTTCACAGAAAAAAATAAAAAAAGATTTTTACAGAAAGCCTTTTATGACTTTCAACTGAAATATTGTACTCCAGTGTTTAACTAGAAATTAGACATCACTGGAATGGATATCATTGTGAAACTCACATGGCTTTTTCTTAGGGCCATCGTTCCATTTGTCAGCTCTTTTCTGCTTGCTACTCTTTGCTTTAAGCTGAACCTCCTTAGAATCCAGAGTGTCTCTTTAGAAAACCTGATTGTTCTTTGTGGTTCACCCTCTAACTTGCACAAGTTCTTCCTGTGTCTTTCATGTTTGCGGGTGTAGTGCTGAACATAGTTTCCTAGATTATTTGGAACCATGGCCTAAGATAGCAGGTCTCAAATTCATATGTACTATGATTTGCCTAGGGCGAGCAAAAACAACCACCACAACAAAATAATTGCAAAAGCCACATAGGGCAGGACTTACCATACATTAATTATGCATTATCTCTTCAAGCATCTAAGGGTCCAAGTTAAAAGCTTAGATATCCTCAGTTTACCAGCTGTTTGTTTTATACAGCTATGATTGCTTGGTTAAAATTTACTGTCCACTCTCTCTTCCCAATCAACTTCCAGTTAAAAACACATACTTTTATTTACATTCAAATCCAAAGTTCAGCTTTGCTTCATGTGAAACATACCTGTCTTAGTCTATTTTCTGCTGCCATAACAGAATATCATAGAGTGGGCAATCTATAAAGAAGAGAAATATATTTCTCGCAGTTCTGGAGGCTGGTAAGTCCAAGTGCATTGTGCCAGCATCTGGTGAAGATCATCTCATGGTGGAAGGTGAAAGGGAGCACAGAAGACATAGAAAAAAAGAAGGCCAAACTCCCCTGATAACTAACCCACTCCTGTGATAACAGTATTAATCCATTCATAAAGGTGGAGCCCTCATGACCTAATCACCTTTTTAAAGGCCCTATCTCTTGATACTGTTACAATGGCAATTAAATTTCAACAGGACTTGCAGAGAGAACAAACATTCAAACCGTAGCAATATCTGATTGACGGTGGAAAAAAAACAGGTTTACTGATAAACAGGTTCTCAATATGTGTCAGGCAATGTTACCAGTCACTGTCCTCCAGAAAAACTGGGTGCAGAGGCTTTCCAGAATTGGCACACCCAAGCAAACATTAAAGATTTAGGTCTAACGAACATGAATAAAAATGGAGGCAAAATAGGGAGAAGAAAGTTTTCACTTACCTTTCCTTAAAGTTTGAATAGCTTCTTCATCTAGCCATGGTTTCCACAGGTTTGCTACTGCATTGTACACTTTACTGGTGGCTATAGGCAGCTGATCCTGGGCACAAACGATATGATCCACCATTGAAATATTAAAGATACATGTATTAATTAATTTAAACATTACTTGAGAACTATTATGTTAAGCATCTGTAGATACCAGGATGAATACTAGATAGACATAGTCTTTGCGAAATTTATAACTGAGTTTGGGAGTAGAGGACAAATATAATCAACTAATTATAAAACAATGCACTTGGTGCTCCTACAGAAGTCCTGGGAGCATAGAGGCAGGGACAATCAAGGCAGGATGGAGAGCAAAGAGAGCATTTGAACCAGGCCTTCAATAACTATTTCAAGTTGACAAGAAAGACCATCAAAGTAAAAGCAATGGCCCAGACACAAACACAGGGGCATGAAGGTGTGTGCCATGTACAGAGAAAAGCTCGTGTTTTCGTGCGGCCAGGGTAAAGGACAGATGTGAAAGTGTGCTCATTAAAGAGACACTGAAGGCAGGTTTGGGCCTGAACATGCAGGTTCTGGTGTAGCATGTCCAGGGAATGGGAAAAATTTCATGATTTTAGAATTTAACAAAATCCTCTGAAATGTTAAAACTGTTATGAAGCTTAACTCCTTGAATAAAAATTTATAATGACATGCTCTTGATTGGAAGAAGTCTGTTTATGGCAGCCTAAATTATATCAACATGTTTTAATTTTTTAAAGAGCACGTTATAAAATATAAAAAAAAATTAATAATCATAAAGCGTATTTTTATCATATCAATTTTATATTATCATAAAGTTGTCTTTATGGTGACATAAGCTCTAGAGGGGAAAACCTTAAGAAAATAAACACTAAATAAAAACCCAGAAATCAGTTGTGAAACTGGATAATTATTTCTACTTTTTGTTTTAAAAAATTATATTAAAAACCAGAGGCCCTTGTCTTCACTCTCCTCATTTCTTTCTGCATGTGGCGATACAGGCCTCTTTCTTAGAAGAGTTTCCCTGTCAGCATTTCTCAAAATATTTAGTTATTTTTCAATTTATATTTGGGGCAAGTAATAACCAAATGCCTTGCTTTAACTGGAACAAGTTCCCTAAAATGTATTTTCAGTTTGTGTCAGAGATCAAGGTCACCTGTTTGAGAATTATACAATGGTTTAGGCAAATACAGATTTGGACTAAAAATTGGTAATATAATCACAATATAAAGCCATAATTCTTGGCATTTGTTTACTTTGGAATGGATGCCAAAGTATGGGATGGTACTGTAGAATCTTCAAATTATCACTCTGGGCTTTCTTATTTTAAATATGAGAAATATGAGCACCAGAAAATTTAGGTGATTTAATCCAGAGACAGCTGGTCAGTCCCAGAGCTGGGTCTAAATCCCCGGCTCTTTCCACCGTCTCTCTTATGTTCAGTTGTCAATTGCACCACATTACCTTCTCAATCCTTTCTAGTTGTGACATGACCACTGCTGAGAAATGAGGTATAATGGCAAAGGACCCACCCATAAATTTGGTGGCACCAATCTTACCACTGTAGGAGTAAATGGGGACCCTGAACCAGACTGCTTCCTTGGGCGGTAACAGGAGGGAATCCCTGGACTGCCCACATTAATAACTACTTCTTATGTAATGAGTAGGGACATGCATCTATATAGGTATGTTTATGTAGCTATGGTGCGTGTTTATGGGGTTTTAATGGAGAAATAACACTTGTTGACTTTATTTACTCCCAATTAATTTACTCTCCAGAATTATGAGGAGCCTTCAAAAAGTTCATGGAAGGATTCGTAAAATCTTTCAATTCTACTTTTCTACGAACTTTTTGAAGTATATCCCAGCTATCAATCTTTAGGAGAATTTGCTGTGAGGTTTTCATGTTATGTTTGACACTTCTAAAACTGTGAAGCAGAAGGATGGCAGAATAATATAAAAAATATTTTCATATATAAGATCATAAGCTAGAAAGGGAAAAAAAATGAACTGTTTAAGGTATACACGCTGTCCAATTTACCCTAGCTATACATAAATTAAGATATAGTACGGAAGGTAGATACCTGTAGCATCTGTATCTTTGAATTATTATAATATTTGACTTGACAAAAAGAAGATAAAGTTAAAATGAAACAAACCCTCAAAGGACTCAGAAAAATGTATCCTGGGTCACTACTTAATGCTACAAATAACCACCACCCCACTTATCGAAGGCCTATTATGTGCCAGGGAGTAGACTATACCCTTTTTATATATTATCACTAATTCTCACAAATATTTCACAAGGTAGGTATTATTGCTCCTATTTACAAATGAGTGACCTATGAGTCAGGGACATTAAGTGAACTACTCAAGTTGGTCAAGCTATTAGAAGAAGAGCAGGATAGGGATTTAAATGTAGTGAATATGACTCTAAACCCCACATTCTCTGCTATACTAGCCTGCCTGTCACCTAAGGCATATAAAAACAATGTGTGTAACCTCGGGCTCGTGCAGATTGTCCCTAGGCCTCTGCACTATGTAGCCTAACATCTCAATATAAAGTTGACTAGCATTTGAGAGGCTGACTCATAAAGACTCACTTATTGTTGTTCATCACCAGGTTGGAAGCCAGGGCCAAGAAGTCACTTGAACTTAAACCTATCCTAGAGCACAACTTTTCAAAATCATTATATTCAGATTAGGTTAGCTTAAACAACCAAAACACCTACTAATTATCCATTTGACATGAGATGGAACAAAGAAATCTATAACTGGGGGCCGGTCCGGTGGCGCACTGCTACAGTGCGCTGCTTGGGAGTGCGGTGGCGCTCCCGCCGAGGGTTCGGATCCCACATACAGACTGGCCGCTCACTGGCTGAGCGAGGTACGGGTGCAACACCGAGGGTTGCGATCCCGTTGCCGGTACCAGTCCGGTATGGGCGCGACACTCAGGGTTGCGATCCGTTGCCGGTCACGAAAAAAGACAAAAAGGAAAAAAAAAAATTAAAAAAAAAAAAAGAAATCTATAACTGGTTGTGATATACTGGTTGTAAACATCATTGCACTCAGACCATCAAGGTCTGAGCCAGGAAAAAAAACTGAACAAAGTGAATATGTTTAGGAAATATTGAGTTTACTAGTATGGCAAGAATAAGGAAGGTGTGAAAGGATATTGGTCTAACTGAACCCAGGACTGGGTGAAAAGATCCGGAATGTGAGGTCTGCCACTAAGTGCTGTGAGCACTTGGACAAGCAACTTAACATTTCTGGGCCTCAGTTTTCTCATCTACAAAATGAAGGGTTAAACCAGACCAGGGTGTTAGAGTTTGGATGTGTTGTCCCTGCCAAAACTCATGGAATCTGATCCGCAATGTGGCAGTGCTGGAAGCTGTTTCAATCATGGGGGCAGATCCCTCATGAATGGATTAATGCTCTCCCTGAGGGAAGGGGGTAGTGAGTGAGTTCTCACTTGATTAGTTCTCACGAGAGCTGGTTGTTTAGAAGACCCTGGCAACTTCTCTCTCTCTCTCTCTCTTGCTTCCTCTTCCCATGTGATCTGTTTGTACCTGTCACCTACCTGCCGCTTTCCACCATGAGTAGAAGCAGCCTGAAGCCCATGCCAGATGCAGCTGTCCCAGAATCGTAAGCCAAATAAACCTCTGTTCTTTATAAATTACCCAGTCTCAGGTGTTCTGTTACAGCAACACAAAATGGACTAATACATGGTCCTCAGTTTCCTCATCTACAAAATGAAGTGTTAAACTAGACCAGGGATCAGTCAAATTTTTCAATAAAGGGAAGGATAATATTTATTTCAAGCTTATGGATCATACGGCCTCTGTGACACTATTCTACTCTGCCATTCTAGCACAAAAGCAGCCGCAGACAATACAGAATGAATGGAAACACAGCCATGTTCCTATAAAGCTTTATTTACAAAAACATGCAATGAGCCAAATTTGAACCACAGGCCATAGTTTGCCACACCATGGACTAAACAGCAATCTCCAGGATCTTGAATCTGTACAAATTTAAGACTTTGGTACTGAAACAAAGATTCTGTAACCAGGAGAACTATCCAGCTGTCATGTAAAAATTGCTTAACAAATTGCTACTCTGATTGTTAGACCCCAGGGCTATATTAGGCATTATTTAGCTTGCACACAGTCTCTGCCTTAAATTACATCTTATTTATATAAACTTTATTTGAACATCGACCTCCCCCTTCAGTTCTTAAGGTAGTTTGTTATGTTTTTGTTTTTCATCACAATCCAGCTTAAATCAGAGTGTGGAGATCTTTGTATGCCTGACAGAAATTCTGGAAAATGTAAACATTTGTCAACATTAACCTTCCTTGCTAACCCTGTCATAGAAATGCCAATGAATAAGAAAATGATTCAACAGAATGGAGAAAGAGAAGATTATGAAGAAAAACAGGAATTAATAATCCACAACCTGAGTAGTTTGCTTGTGAAAACTCACTATTGACATACATTTTATGAATTATTAAAAGGATCCTTTTAAAGTCCCCAGAGCACTTGTCTTGCCTTCCTCAGTAGTTAGCATTAAGAGTACACTCTATACAACCCATTCCCATGCCCACCACTGGCTAGTTACTGTCATAATTTTGATACTACCAATGAGAAAAATCCTTTAAGCACTTCTGGGAGGTTGATGTCAAATTTACCTGTGGCCAGTAGTCATGATTACCCAGTGCAGGAAAAACCTGGAGATTTGGAAAGAGACTCTGGATGGTGATTGTCATATTAGCAATCACATTTATAACAGTGTCTGTCGAAAGTTCAGAAACTGGAACATGAGGTGGGCTATCCCTGAAAAGGAGACAATTGTGAAGAACAATATTAGTTTTCATAAAGTGTCACTAGATCTATGCTTAATGCTTTGCTGTACCTATCACTGTAGACTTCCACTTTAAAATAACAAATAACAGTTAGAGAGTTGATAAACTACTCTTCGCTTACCTCTCCCCCACAGAGAATCCTATGAAAATGAAAAAAAAAAAAAAGTAATACAACAAATAAACTTGAAATCCCAGCTTATTTCACTGTCTGACTGAAGATTTATGACAGGCAAAAAACTGAAGTAATTAAAAGCACAGATTTCAAAGCCAAAATGCCTGGATTCACATTTCAGTTTTGCCAATTACTAGTTGTGTACACTTGGGCAAGTTACTTAAATGCTCAATGCCTTCATTTCCTCATCTGTAAAGTGGGAATAATAATACCAATTGTAAAGATTAAATAAGTTACAACACATAAATTAATTAAAACAGTGCACACTCTACAGGTATTAGCCATAGTCATTACTCCAGGTACAAAAAATACAGGCCTCTTTATCATGATGGATGGAACTAGTTAATTATACCACCAGCAAATGATGCTTTACAAAATTACCATCACAGGTTATCTCCCATTGTTGTCTTTTCTCTATGATTATTTAGTCAAGGCCTTATCACATTAATCAATATCTTAAGACATTGATACAGGTGTACTGTTTATGGATTTGTCTCTTGGTTATCACTGATGTATTTCTAAATCTTGTGTTCCAAAGAAAACCTCTAATAATGTTGGTTAATTTGACCTAATTTTTTTTTTTTTTTTTTGTCTTTTTGTGACCGGTAAGGGGCTCGCAACCCTTGGTGTGGTGTCGCCCGCACCACGCTCAGCCAGTGAGCGCACCGGTCATTCCTATATAAGATCCGAACACGCAGCGGGAGCGCCGCTGCGCTCCCAAGTGCTGCACTCTCCCGAGTGTGCCACGGGGCCGGCCCTGACCTAATATTTTTTAACCCAAATTATTCTTAAACACAATTAATCTTTTTATAGAATTCAGCATTCTAATAAAGCTTAGGACACTGTAGATAAATCCTGAGTAATTAATGGTATTTACATAATCACTTACCCTGTCCATATCATGAAAGATGCTTCTTGTCCTGAATTTTTAATAAAATCAAATGCTGACAAAATAAGTCGATATGGAGAATCACACAGAATATCACCAAAGGGGCCAGGGTTGGAGGCATTTGCTCCTTTGGATGAAGAGCACACTTTTGTGTGGTCATCTGTGATGTGGTAAGTAGGATCTAAGTGTAAGTCAGTCACATGCCAAAACTGTCCTGTTGATTAGAAAAGAAATACTGATAAATCTACTACTTCTCTTTTGGAATTCCCACAGAAATAGTTCCAGTAAGACTAGAGACAGTTGCTCTTCCTTATGATGGAGGAAAGCCTTAATAATCGAAAAGTTCACATGCCATGAAGTTAAACACAATTCCTCCCTGTGAGAAGATGAGGATTCAAACAACAGTGGGAAGAGTTTACTACTTAAGCGTGTCAGAACTGATGAGTTCAGTATTAACTTGATGACTTAACAAAGAGCATAACAAAGATAAATTTGCACAATGAAACATATGGAGATGTCCTTCTAGCAGGTCAATGATAATATCATATTGTGTCTTGACAACGTGTCTCCTTGCAGAGTTTAAGGTTTTGAAAATTATTTACATTATCCTTGTAGGAAAACTGACATAGAAATATGGTGTTTGTTAGGGTTGTACTCTGAGTAGATTGCAGAACCAGGAACTATATATCTCACTCCTAATTTCTTCTATAACCTTGCTTTTCAACATTAATGGAAAGAATATAAGTCTTTAACACTAGCTTTAAGCCAAAAATAGGAATTCCTAGAGGTTTTCTATCATACAATTGTATAAAATGCTAATAATATTAAGGGAAGCAGTTGTTAAAGAGAATGCTTCCATTGGGTTTTCAAGGAGAAGTTAAATCCATCTCACAGCATCCCTACTTGGGAATCATCTTAATAAAGATTTTTTTATTAAAGGAAATATTAGAAAAAGTAATCTAGTAATATCTCCCCTTATTAAGTATTTACTATGTGCCAGGCACTGTGATAAGCAACTTAAATATACAATGTCATTTCATTCTCAAAACTACTCTCTGAATCACGGTTCTCATTTCAAAGTTGAGAAACTAATGTTGGATGGATCAATTGGGAAATTTTCTCAAATATGCATTGCTAATAAATGGGAGTCAAAAGTCTGAAACCCCCCTTGTGAAGGGTCCCCAAGTTTGTTTATACATAATTTACATATATCTTCAATGATTTTGCTGCCTTCTCGCATACAATTCTTAAATTGTTTTAACATTGAGATATTTTTCACACTTAAGAGTTTTTTAGTTCACTCTGATTATGACTACATCAGAAACACATCAGAAGTGACAAAGCAGCATATACTACACGAGAAGCACGGAGCAAGCAAGTAGAGTGCTAACTTTCATCTATACAAAGATGATAAAATTTGAATAAAACTCAAAGCTGGGATAACAAAGTGAAAACACTTGATTTGTCAATGTGAAAAAGGTGAGCTAACATTTGGTGGTTGTTTCTTCCTAAGGTGGTGGTTGTTATAATTTTATAACACATTTAAGTTCACAACTAAAAAGTGGTAGATAAAGATCCAGAAGAAAGTAGACATATAATAGTGTTTATGGTCAATTACCCAATACTTAGTCACCATTTGAAAACATCTGCCAAGAGTAATTTGATTTTGATTTTTTTCCATAATTCAAAAAAATACCCCAACCTTTATTTCTAGCTTAGATATACTTTATGCAGCACACAAAACAGACATGGCAAATAGCTTAGAATCATCCTGGAGGCTGCCATTCCTTAGCATATAAATACATAGTGCATCTCATTTTTATATAAACATGTATTTTTATTATTTGTACAATGTTAAGGTATGTTAAACAGCACCCAAAACAGTGTAGTGTTGTGGTTAAGAGTGGGGACTTCAGGGTCAGACTGTCTGACTTCTAATCCAAGCTCCACCAACTTCTAATCTAGCTGTGTGATCTTGGCCTCTTTTATCTCTAAAGTGGAAATAATAATAGTGCCTCCTATGAGGATTAAGTGACTAGGTGGAAGTAAAGCCCTCAGAAGGTGTATGGCACCTAGTAAGCTCAATACTTATATTAGTTTTACTGTTATTATTTTGTAACTCCACACCTTGAATATGAAATTGAATTTCCCCATTTCCAAGTGATAGTCAAAATTTACTGAGTACTTACTATACATTTAGTACTGTTTTGTATGCTTTCTATGTATTAACTCATTATCACTGTTTCACAGATTAAGTCCAAGTCACATGTATTATGTACAACAGAACTGAGATATGAATTCAGGAAATGACTCCAGAGCCCATGTTGTCCTCAACCACTGCACACACTGCCTGTGTGTTCCCATTCAAACATCCTCAGCCTCACCTGCCTCACATAAAGTACATTATAACAGCATCCACATATGAAATACTGTGAAGATTAAAGGAAATGAGATTATAAACATATTAAATTTTTGTAAACCAAGACATGAAATGCATTAAGGGCACATCCCTCTGATGTAATCTAGTACCTAGATTTATAAATCTCCAGCATCTAGAATATGTACCTACAGCAGGTCTTCAACAAACGTACTGTAATTTATATATGAGGACATTTAGGAAAAGGCAGATTTCAGGATTTCCTCAAGATAACATAACAGTAATGAAAGCTGAACTGGAACCAGTCTTTCCAGACTTCCAGTCTAGTGCTCTTTCTATTATTACATCACATTTCCAGACAGATAAATGAGGGGGTAATTATTCAGATGTACTGAAGGATGTAATTAAATAGAAGTCAAGAGAAGAGCTCTGACAGGTTCTCAACCTGAGATTTATGAATAATGAAATTCTGGAGGCCTTACAAGCACTCCGCGCGCGCGCGCGTGTGTGTTTTTCCAAACTTACTGACCTGGCCTGTGGCATAGCCCACACTCCAATCCAAGTTCCCTGGCTCAAAGTCCAAAGTTCTTTCCACTTTCTTGTTCAGACCATCGTTAAAAAGATTTCCAAAAATGTGTGTGTGTGTGTGTGTGTGTTCCACGTTATCTAGATAAATGCTCAAAATCATACAAGAAAATCTTTAAGTCAAAGAAAGGATATAATTTGGCTGGTCAGTTACCTCAGTTGGTTAGAGTGTGATGCTGATAACATCACGGTCCAGGCTTCAATACCTGCCCCGGCCATCCTCCAAAAACAAAAGTTATAATTTATTCTAAAGAACCTGTTGAACCGTAGTTCATATGTTTGGACATAATGCTGTTGTTTAAACAGGTGTTTGTTTACTAGTTTATAATGTTGGTTGCTATGTACCAAGTCCACCAGCAGGTCCCAGCCTACTAAATCTTAAGAGTTGTGGCCAAACACATCCAGATGAAGCCTTGCAGGGTGGTTGTCCTCTGACCACCAGGGCTTGACAGGGCAGAAAGCTGAGACTGGGAATTTAAACACACAAACACAAAACAAGTAGGCAGAGGCCAGGCATGGTACATGTTGTAAAGGAAGCCTAAGCATCTGGGGCTGGGAGGAGTGGTGAGAATGGTCACACTGAGTGGAAAATACGTAAAATAATACATAGGACGCGAAACTGCTGAGTCAGCACTTAGTGCCTTTGAACTCCAGTTACCCGTGTCCCTTCCTCTTCGGTAGAGAGTAATGCAACCGTTCAACTTCCCTACCTAAACGGGCAGGTGTGAAGTGGAGATTCACATAATCCCCAGAAAGTGTTCATTGAGGCCTTCAGCAATCAGATCCTTAAAGCCAAACGTTGAATTTGCCGTCACTGGTTGACCTCATGCAATCTGAAACATTTTATCTCAAAATCCTAAACGGTCATACAGTTAAAGCAACACAACTCCAGCTGTAATAAATGCAGGACCCAGCATACATAAATATTTTGGAGCAATTTCTTATTACAACTGACATTTGCCGACGTTGGGAAAGCAGATTTGCAGTTCTTGCTTCCGACTACATGCCAGCTGAGTCATGAGGACTTTGCTCGCAAAGGGAAGGCATTTTCTCTAGAGCATTCCCTAAGTCCTGTGAGAGCAGAGACAGAAAGCGAGAGTGACAGAAAAGTACAGAGAGAGGTTTCAGCACTAAGCACTGCTGCTAGGTCTCGGGGACGGCTATTCCCCTAAACGAAACAGAACTCCACCTCTCTAATTTGTTTTTCCCCCTGTCACAGAGCAATTAGTTTTTAAAGGGAGTCGGGAAGGTGGGAACACCTGTTTTTTCGAAATTGAAGACTCTGATGGCATCGTACAAGCTCTCGAAGCGGACCAGTGATTCTCAGACTTTGGCGTCTATCAGAATCACCCGGAGGGTTCGTTGAACAGCTAACGGCGGGCCGGGTCCAGGGGGGGTCGGTGTCAGTCGTCGGGGTGGGGCCGACAATTTGCATTTCTAACAAGCGTAGGCGCTGCCATTGCTGCTGGCCCCGGACCACACTGAGAACCACCACTGGAACAGGCGCTGTAAGTGCTGGGGATGAATCAAATCGGAGCGGCCCGCAGGGAGCCCGGGGACGTCCCGGTGAAGTGAGGACCAGACGAGCTCTGCGCTACAATACGGGCTGCGCGGCAGGGACTGTGTTTTCGTTCCGCGGTTGGGGGAGTGGCAGAAAAAGCCACCAACCCCGGCTCAGCAGGACAGAAGAAACTCTTGAGTCCGACTGAAACTTACCCCCTGAGGTGAGGGAGAAAGCCCGCGACTCGCCCTCCGCTCTGGGCAGATCCGCGGCCTTTGGACACCCGACTCCCGGCTGCCTTTTCCCGTGAGACCCGCCGCTTTTCCTTCCTTCCCCAGGGAGCAAAACGACCGAGACGGGGGACGTAAACAAACGCCGGGCAGGCGCCCCCGCCGGCGCGGGCATTTCTCCAGCCCCGCCCCGAGCTCCGCTGTGGCTCCGCGGTCGCCCTCGCCCTCCCCGCACCCCGCAGCCGCAGTCAACGCCGGTGGCGTCAGGGCCCGGCTTGCCCGAGCCTCGGCCGGGC